ATACTGCGTATACTAAACTGTGAAGCAATTTACAAAACGGTTTACACTTACAAAGTGTTGTCCTACTGTTAGTTTTGCTGCTTCTATTGTTCTCCTCATTTGTAAGTCGCTTCGGATAAAAGCGTCTGCTAAATGAATAAATGTAAGTGTAAACATTTAAGGTTACACTTTATTTTAAGGTGTCGTTGTTACAGTGTAATTATATATTTAAGTACTGAGTAATATTAAGCAACTACATACTTACTATTGGGTTAGGGTAGGATTATGATTTGGTTGAGGGTTAGTTGCATGTAATTATGCATAATTTACTGTTATTACTACGGTAAGTACATGTAATATATGCAACAAGGACACTGTAAAATAAAGTGTTACCACATTTAATTATTGCAGGTTTGCGTATTATTCTGAGTTTATATGTCACTGTTTTTATTCATTTTGAGGAATACTGAATGTGTTTTTGTGCAGTAACTTGAGTAAATGCATATTCACATTAGTCTAGAACTACAATAACAATCATGTTCACACACACAACGCCTCTGCACTTACTCACAATTTCTCTAAACATGGGGACAGGTGTCAGTCAATAAATGGGAAACAAAGTAACATGCGTTACTTATTTGAAAAAGTGATATTTTGTGGTAAATTTAAAAGTAATGCCTTACTTTAGTAAATTTACACAAGTAATCAATAGTGCTCGCACACTTTTTCAGCAGTTTTGGCTCCGTTCACGTACCGTCAAAACCCTACGCACAAGCTATCCATAATGTCAGAGGGAAGTGATAGGTGGATAACACTGATGTAGAAGCTCCTAACCCTGGTTCTAGGCTTGACATAAACCTGTCCCTCAAATCAGGAACATGTTGCACTTGGTGAAATCAGGTTCTTCGGTTCGCAAATCATTTTCTCGTTCACCTTTCCCATAGGGAAGTCTTCGTTTAAGTTATAAGCCATGAACTAAAACAACCAGCTATGTGGTGAATAACAACATTTCAAACTTTTATTTGAAGTAACAACAACAAAATAACGTGAAAAACTTTTAATTTATTTTTAATTTTCTTTACTTTTCTATCAAACTGACAGAAGCTTAATTAATTAATAGCTAAATAAAAAATCTTGAAAATGGAACTGCTGTTTGAATTATTTAATTAGGAAGTGATAGGGCAGTAATGGGCTGGGCCCAGATGTCATCTTTATATCTATAGGACCCTCATCATCTTCATCCTCATCATCATCTGCAGAGAGCCAAAGCCTGATCCGGCAAACTCACGAGCCAGGCAGGATTACCCCACTGCAGTGAAACTTTAGCCCCGTTTCAAAGAGACTGGCAGGGATTAGACAATTACCCGTTAATGCTCTCGTCTGCCAAGAGTCCACAGCAAACAGTGCTCATCTGGGCCCGATTACACATATAAACACTCACACAAACACTCTTAAAGTATCACTCTACAAGAGAAACAGCCCACACTTGCTTCACATACTCACACATACTGCATTCGGTCATTTTAATTTACAAACACTGAAGACACAGATCGAGATATCCATGTCATGGAGGTCGTCCAGTCTATGTGTTCATGATGTCCGCTTGAACCTCCAAACGCTTCTCTGAAGTTATAGTGGATGGGGAGATATCTCGGGAATATAACTGGACTTATGCTTCACACTAAAACTATGACCTGGTGTATGTATTTCTTCTGTTATTAACAATACAGAAGTCCATGTTATTTCATGGTGTTTGCTGTTACTCTAAAAGACTGTTGTTCAACTTTTTCTATCATTATTATCATTTTTAGTTATTATTATTATTAGTCAAAATTCCTTAGTCTTACCCAGAACTAACATTTCTGATTGCCTATTGCTCTAGCAATTATAAGGAATTTATGTTTTCAGCCTCCAAATCTCTCTTCAACAGTGTTTGAAAGTATGTAGTAACTTTGAATCTTGCTTTAAACGGCCTTACAACCTTCAATATTTCCTACATAACCTGCAAAGCTCAAGGCTGTCAAACAGTGTGTTTTCCTTCTCTAGTTAATATTAGCCTTATGCAAAAACAATATAAGTCCGCCCTAGTTAAATGAACAGCACAGTATATTTGGAGGCTTTATAAGTGAAAGCGGGACATGAAAGCAGAGAGATGAACGGATGAATGATGGTCTGGAACGAATGATTGAGGGATGTGGTGAATAACAGGAGTGAGGTGATGTGTCTGAGGCAGGTTTGAGTCCTTTTCCCTGCGGATTCGAAGACGTCCTGTTTTACTTTTCCTTTCCTGCAGGAAGCTACTCCACACTGTGTGCAAAGACCTCACACACACACACACACACACACACACACACCATTTCAATCACATGTGCAAATAAATAAGAGCACTCATAACCAGATGCACAGCACACTTACACAAATACATTTTTCTCACAACATGCTTGAATGAATCAATGTTCTTTGTCGCACGGTTCATCTTCAAGCAATCGAGTGTTTGATTGCTCGGAACTTTCATTCTGTATTAAAAGTTTGTCAGTTTTTTCAAACCTATACTTTGCTACAATGATTTCCGAGACCCTTTAAGCAGAGAGAAAGCTACGTGAATTGAGGAGGATGAATGTGTGCTGAGTGTAAGAGAGATGAGGAGATGAGGTGTCATGGCTGCATGGACGTCTCTTGTTGTCGTGGAGACGTGATGCGATAAGATCTCCCATGATTCATAGCCACCCACATGTAGTCTTTTGTACGTGGGACAGTGGTTGCCTGGCGACTGCTGATCATGGGGGTGTCGGGTGGAGACGCCTTCCTCACCTGAGTTACACCTGCACAGTTTTGCTCCATTAACTTTGAGGATTTAAACATGTCGACTGTCACTTTCTCTTCATGCGTGTAAATGCATCTGTGTGTTACTAACTATATCCGTGTTAGTGCAGTGTTATGAAGTGTGTATCAGAAAATATAGTAAATATAAGATAATGTGATAATATAGTAAGTTTCTGATTATTTTATTTGAATATGCACCATTGCACTTGGTTTAAAGCAAGAGAAATAGGGCCATGTTTATATAGGAGTATTTCCACTGCCTTTACTCTGAATTGTCAAATTAATAGAGAAGACTTTCAACTTCATTCAACGTTTCAATGTCTGTACAACATATAGTCTAATTCCACAATAACAAGCATAAATAAGCATTTAATTTTGAATGTTTGTAGACTGCAAATGATCAATACAATGAGATATACTGAAGGACGGACACACACACACACACAGAGAGAGAGAGAGAGTGTGTGTGTGTGTGTGTGTGTGTGTGTGTTCCTTTGATGATGTCCACCTGTCACAGTAGGAGCAGGAGAACATCCCTCCGTCTTAATCCCTCTTTCCGTTCCTCCATTTTCTCCTCTCTGCATGCACTTTTCCCTCCCTGTTTCCTCCCCTGGAAATGATGTTTGATCATTGATCTTATTTGAAGGAAAAGCTAGTAAATATTAAATTAGTTTAGCTTTCTACTTTATGTAACACTTCAGCTGAACTCATTTTGATAGGAAAATAATACACTAATTAAAATAAATATTAAACCTACGTTTATTAATTTGAAACATTGTGTTTACATGCACAAAAAAAAAAAAAAACATTATTATAAGTGTCATGATGCATTAACCAGATTTTCACAACCGGATTAAGCAATGCATTTATCAGACTATTGGTGTAATGATGGCACAGATACTGAGGAATCCATTTGCAGCTTTAATGAGAATGGTCAAACAGGCAGGGTAATCGACAGCAGACAGAAGCAGCGAAGGTAACACAGAGAAGGTCGAGGTCACAGGCAATAGTCAAGGCAGGCAGAAGTATACAAATCCAAAGGGCAATCCGGGTCGAGACAGGCAGAGAACAGTCAGAGGTCGGGGTACACAATCCAAGATCAGAACACAGAATGGCAAACTCAGAAATAAACGCTTGTTATTGAAAGACAGGGCAATACAATACTTCGCAGAGAAGTGGTGTGTGGAAGTGGCTTTTATGTGTGTGTAAATGACATGCAGGTGTGTGTGCAATCAGTATGGTGCAGGTGTGTCGCGTAATCAGTCCCAGGTAAGCGGCATGATGGGAAGTGAAGTTTCTAAGGATGGTTAATATTCCGGGGAAGGATCCCTCCGGTGGCGAAGAGGGAGTGGAGCGGAAGCCTGTTCCGTTACAATTGGGTTAGAGACTTATTTTTACAACCATTAGAAGGAACATATATAATGAACTAAATTAATATTTTTTTTACAACAAAAATTAACCATCACTGAACTTACTTAAGTTGGACTATGGCGCTATGTTCTTATAGATCTGCTGTAGCAGAAACAAACTCTGTTGCATTATTTTCCTGTTATCACTGTAAAGCTGCTTTGAAACAATCTGTATTGTAAAAGCACTGTATAAATAAAGGTGACTTGACTTGAGTCCTTCCTTACGCTCACTTTACACTTGTGTTATTGTACTTGTTTATTTGCTAAAACACATCATAATTAATGGCAAGCGTGAGCATCTACAGTATGTCTTAGTTTATTCAGATTTATTTAAGCATTACTGACATGTCTTTACTTTAAAGCAGAATGGACCTTGATGATAAGGTCAAAGCACTGACTGTGATTGATAATGAACTGAAAGCACTGGTGAAGTGATGATGTAACTTTATGATCTGCATTTGATAATGGCACTGATGATGTGACAGGATTAACAACAGTTTATCGCAGGAAAAACATGTACTCACTATTTAAAAATCATATTTGCTGTTTTGCTCAGGTGTCTGTCTGTGAGGGTTTTGTTTATAGGCGTAATTGTTGAGTTAGGCGATATCACTAACCTGTGTGTGTCTGTGTGTGTGTGTGTGTGGATCTCAGAAAGTGCAGTACTTTTTGTCTTTCAAAGTATATTAAGCACGCATTACAAACTTATGCATACATTTATCCTCTTTCTCCTTCTCCTCCCTCTTCCTTCCTTCCCCCTCCACACACACACACACACACACACACACACACACACACACACTCGCTGTTCTTCTCCTCGGTGAGCCTGGCAAACCATGGATCGTGTTCACACCTGAAAGTGCATTTATAGGCTACTCGTGTTGGGGTTGACAAACCTGGTGAGTTTTTAGGAATATTGTGTTTTTTTTTTTTTTTTTAAGTAAAACATGTTTGTTCTCTTGGTGGAAAATATGTGATTTGTTCATTATTTTCGTAGATATTTTATTAAACAAAATCGTTGTTTGGCTTATTAAGGTTAAAATTAGTAAAGGTTCAAAATAAATTTGGTTTACGGTAAAACGATTATACTCCTAAAATGTCGTGACAGGATTTTTTTAAGACCAATTGCTTTGTTCTGAAACTTTCACAGTTGTTTATAAAAAAATAAATAAAAATCAGCACATCACGGACGAGAATATAGATTTGAATATAATTCGCATAGACTTGTGATGACGGTTTTTTGTTCAAAGTATAACATATGCTAGAGACAAGCTTGATATTTTTATTATTAAAGAACATTGGTAATTGTTGCATAATATACAGGCTGCCTGTGACGCTAACAGCGATGACTAATGAGTTCAACTCATTTCCACAACCATAATAACTTAGGCTACAAGATTTTCTCATTAATGTCCTCAGAAGATAAATAGCCATAACACGTTTTACTTTAACAATTTTGTTATGGAGTTATTTAATGTGTGTGCAAATTTTAGCAGAATTAATAATTTATTTTATTTGGGTAGTGAATGTGTATGTCGAAGGCTTCGGCAATGTCGAAGGAAGACTCAATATTATAACATTTAACTTTAAAAAAAAATTTAACACCATGGGAAATTGAATCATGCTATTATAGCTATGTATTTTATCTCATTTATATTTTAAGGGTGCTTGTATATGTAGCCTATATATATATATATATATATATATATATATATATATATATATATATATATATATATATATATATATATATATATATATATATATATATATATTTAAACTATGTTGTTGTACTGTAGTCTATGCTACTTGAGATCTTAATTTACCTCGTGGCCTTTTAACAAACCAGCACATGCCCTGCTCGTTATGAAACTACAGCTTCAGAGCATCTCAGGTCAAACAGTGCTGAAGAAAGGTCATAATAATCCAAAAGTATATATCCTTTACGAAAAAATAAATAATAACCATAACAATAATAAATCCATCAAATAAATTAAATACATAATAAGTGAAAAATTGAACTGTGGCTGATCTTCATGAAAATTATAAATGTCGGGTATCACTTGCTGCATGCACACACGAGGACAGTTCATCTAAATCTGAAGTTAAAACACTTGGTGTGTTGAATAGCTTATTGTAGGCAAGTGGCCAAGACGAATTAAAAACCTGGCAGCCACTGACCTGTGAAAAATCATAACCCATGTTTTCAAAACCACCATACAGATGCACACGGAAAATTACACCGACGCGACCGCACACAGTGAACTGTCGCCTATTATTATTTATATATTTTTTTTAGTTTTGTTGTGTCAAGTGTAAAAACTTTACGACCAAAACGTTTTGAGAAATTAATTACATTATTAATAAGTAGGCCTATGCTGTTATTAGCTATATTAGCCTAGTAGTAAAGTATGCATCTATAATTTTAACTCTTTTAAATATCCACGTGTAACCACCATTTTAATAACCACCATGTTTTATTCTCGATTATCGTGTGGGTATTTTGCCATAACCAGTTCATATGAATAAAGAGGGGGGAAATCCGTCTAATTTGCGTAATTAGCCTACGTAATTTCATAGGCTGATTTACTTACGGATATTGTTCGTGCTATAGGCCTATATTTAACTGTGCTTTTGGGAATAACGTGGTACTAACGTCATAGGTAGACTAGTGTATCTCAGGAAACCAGTCATGCACAAATTGTTTGGTGCTGGAAGATGCAAGTTCTGTCATTTTCGGCTACATTTTTTAGATAGGCTTATGCATTTAAATGCATATAGACAGAATTGTTAGCTGGATAATGGAGGTATAGGCTATATATTGTGGGGCCACATCCACCAAAACACAAATTAGTGATCAGTCGTATACTTTAATTGGTCCCATTAAATTAACAAACACTCAAAGTAGGCTAACTTACTAAAAATAGCCTATGCTTTAAATTGAATAGAACTATTCCCAGAAATTTGGGAATAACTCTGCACAAAATAGCTAAATAATGTAGGCTATGAGCCATATACAAGAGTCACATCATGACACTGGAGAAAAATCATAAAGATAAATGGCATCGATCCATTTAAAGGAAAATAACAGGAATATTGTAAATAATAAGTTAGTTCAAAAGAATGTGTAGCTAGCTACGTTACAGATATTGGTCGGTAATTATTAGCAGTGATGTAACAGAACTATAGTATTATAATAACCGTTTGTCCATATTGTGTGTTTATGGTATAGCCTATAATTCCTTTTCATGAAATCTCTATTTCTATTTGTATTTTAAGAATGGTTTGACTGGGCACGGCTCCTGCACCTGTTATGAACTAATTATGTCTTCCAAAACTGTGTCGGTTTCCAGTTGTTGCTTCCATTGGCGTGCTGAGAGACATAGTTCAGAATTTAGAGTATGAAGCAAAATAGATGAATCGCTTTCGAAGCATAGACTACGAATCAGGAAGCTTTATGCCCTACCGCATCAAATATGTGTGAATGTGAGAGAGTGTGTGAGGAAAAGAGAAGGCGGGCTTATACGGAGAAACCAAAGCACAATTTGCCCTCCTTCTCCAGGAGTATCTAGTTGAGGAGAAACTCTGAAGCGCGAGAGCTTTCTAACATTAAGCTGCACACATACACAAACAGAAAGAACGAAACATTTGTATAAAAAACTCTCTCTTCACAGGATAGTTTCGACTGTCATCGACAGAAGACTAGTTCGCATTGCTGAACTGTTTTTATTAGTCCACGGTTTTGTTTTGGTGCAGGTCTGCGCGCGCAATGATGGCCACCTTCCCTGGCCCGGAGGATAACGGCATGATCCTCATGGACACTACCTCGAGCTCAGCGGAGAAAGACCGGACAAAAGACGAACCTCCTCCGGAGAAGGGACCGGACAAATCCGACCCCACACAGAAACCCCCGTACTCCTATGTGGCGTTAATCGCGATGGCGATCCGCGAGAGCTCGGAAAAGCGTCTCACGCTGTCCGGTATCTACCAGTACATCATCAGTAAGTTTCCTTTCTACGAGAAGAACAAGAAAGGATGGCAGAACAGCATCCGACACAACCTGTCTCTCAACGAGTGCTTTATTAAGGTGCCTCGGGAGGGGGGTGGCGAGCGGAAGGGTAACTACTGGACCCTGGACCCGGCGTGCGAGGACATGTTCGAGAAGGGCAACTACCGGAGACGACGGCGCATGAAGAGACCGTTCCGGCCTCCACCGACTCACTTCCAGCCGGGCAAGTCTCTGTTCGGCGGAGACGGGTACGGTTACCTCTCCCCGCCCAAATACCTGCAGTCCGGGTTTATCAATAACTCATGGTCTCCCGCGCCTATGCCGTACACCTCCTGTCAGATGAGCGGCGGGAGCGTGAGTCCCGTTAACGTGAAAGGCTTGACCGCGCCGTCCTCGTACAACCCGTACTCGCGCGTGCAGAGCATAGGTCTCCCGGGCATGGTGAACTCTTACAACGGCATGAGCCACCATCATCACCACCACCACCACACGCTCCCTCACGCGCAGCAGCTGAGTCCCGCGACGGCGGCTCCTCCTCCGGTGTCCGGCGGGAACGGGACGGGTCTTCAGTTCGCCTGCGCGCGCCAGCCGGCGGAACTCTCCATGATGCACTGCTCCTACTGGGACCACGAGAGCAAACACTCCGCACTGCACGCGCGAATCGATATATAGCTCGGGCGTCGCGAGACCAAACACAGATCAATACTGTCCTCGCTAAAAGACTATAAAAACAAGGTCCAGCGATCTCAAAAAAACACATTTCGTAAATTGTGCGGGGTCTAGGGACTTATAAGAAGGAGAAACTTTTACTGGAGCCTCGCATTATGGAAGCACGGGTATCCAATCCTGTCTGATGCAAGGTTTCATATTTTTCTTCGCAGACATTTGTGATCTGAATGTGTATAAACTGTTCATTCATATAAGAAGATGGCCAGATCATCGAAGGTTTATCATCGTCATGGAATTACAAATCATGTTTACCTGAATCCGTTCACAACATTCTGTCAATGACTTTGGAGTGAAGTATTGGGTATTCTGAACCCTTTTCCCAATTCATATTTTTTATTGTCTTTGCTTTTGAATGTTTAAGGATGCAGTGGAGCTCTGGACAGGTAACCCGAAGGAGACACAAACAAACCTGTGTTTTGGCCTCTTGATTCCGTGATTAAGGGTCTCGTAGGGGTCAGAGCACGTGACTGCCAGTTTGGACTGTTTTGTATGTACTTTTGTTTGTAATTAAATAATTTTAATGTCTATGACACATTGGGACCATGTTTAACTAGCACTTTTCAGTCTTTTTTTAAATAGATCTACTTTTTATTCTTTAATAAACTCTTTGTCAACATGACACTGATTTTGGATTTTATAATTTATATAGGCTATAATTCTGCTATTATTATTATTATTATTATATAACAAGATTAGCTATTTGAATCGGAGTGCTGTAACTGTTCAGCCAACTACATTTCTGGCCTTCCACTAATATTTGATCGTAGCGTGTTTACAGGCATTAATATAGAGTTTTATGCGAGATAATTTAGCCTACTGTATGAAAATAGTTTCCAAATAGGACTACGTCGAAAATGATTTCTAAAAATGACTCTGCTTCTAGTTTCTCGTGTAAAAATAGTCAATTTTATGCGAGTATGCTACATATTAAGTAACATTGGGCCTTAGATGAGGGAAAATTGCGTCAACTTTTAAGACAAATTATTTAGCTGGATTTGTAAATATTTAGCCCTGTCAAATCAATGTATTCGCAATTATTGGCCGCGTCTGGTGTCAACAGCTTTTTAACATGTCGCATATTTCATATGAATAGTTTCGCCTTTTATCGCTTTTTATTTCGTGTCTTTAAAAATAATTTTACTAGAAGTAGGCTATAGGCCTACACAGTTGCTGTAAAATACAATGCAAGTATCTCTGTGAATTAATTAATTAGACAGTGAATAGCCTAATATGCACATCTGAAAAACTAGATTTATTTTAACAAAATGTAGCCTATGTTTTTACACGATTCAATTTTCCATAATGAAAAATCTACGCAAACTTAATTAAAATAACATATTTTGATAACTGTCCTTCAAACATTTTTACATAATAGCTAATGTTTAATAAATCACAGTTAATCTACATTGAAATAATTAGCAATGTAGCCTTATAATGAAACTTTAGTAAATATATTTTAGGATAATGTTTGTTAAAAGTGAAAGTTAAAGCGTCTTTCTCTGTCCGCGCGCCATAAGGCTGAACGGCTATAACATAGGCCTATAACGTTAAGTAAACACAGTGTTTTATAAAAATAGATTAGGCCTATATAGTGGATTCGTTGAGTTAATGATAAATATCGTTATTTGAGTAGCCTATAGCTATCGAATATTTGAACATTACATTAATAAAACGCTGGAGACATGATTCATTTTTAACAAAAACAATAAGGCGAAAAAACATTATACTGAGAAGTTGGTTTTCATTGTTTGAATGTAGGATATCCATAGGCCTATTCTTTGTTTAATTTTAATTTACTTTTTTAGTCATTAGAGTTATAGCTAACCTTAAACATTTTCTTCGATATTCGAACGATCGGCTTATTATTTAGCGTGTCTATCTCCCCCGCCATGTCCTCTCCAGGAGTCTCCAGGTGTGCGTCACACAACGCGCCCGCATGCAGGATATCGCGCGCTCAGGGCCAGTGAGGGCCCACAGTGTGTCCCAAAAAGCGCATCGGGGAATGTTGTCACAAAAGAACTTTTCTCCTCCTGAAATATATTTAATGGGGTTGTTCACAGGTGTATTGTTCACCCTTAAGGCAGTTCATCTACAGGACACATGTAGGCCTAGAATATATTCACACAAATGCTTTTCATTTCATTTAGTTTTGTTAGTTCATTGAGTTTCCTTGAGTTGGCTATGGCTATATGTATAATTTACTTTAGCCTTTCTTATATCTAATTTAGAAACCAATTATTATATTCTAATAATAATATTTAATATAAGAATAATAATAATAATAATTTAGAGTCTACTTTGAGTTTCTGTTAATGAAGTGTTGAATTATTAATTGCTTGTCATTTTAACTTCATTGGGGTTTATACGTTTTGCTTAAAGTTATTTTAATTGGGGGGGGGGGGGGGGGGGGGGTAATAGCATAGATTCTTGTGATTATTTCGTACAGATTGTAGCCTATATTTACATGTTTCATCTGAGCCGCGTTTCTCAAAAGCATCGGAATAAATGCGTGATAATCGTCCTTGATAGACTGCTAAAGACAGAAGACGGACACCTGCAGCCCCCTGCAGGACACCTGCTGCATTACATCAAACATATTACTACATATCACACTTTCAGAAAATATGAAAATATATTGTTATTCTATTTACATTTATTTAAATCAATAATACAATTAATTCAGAACAAAATTAAAATACGACTAGATAAATTAATAAGACAGGTTAATAATAGGCTACACTGATAGTGAACGTAGTCTTACCACAAATTGGTATGATTGTTGCATAACATGAAATTCAGAGGAAGTGGATATCTTGTTTAAGGGGGAAATGTTCCAATGGCTCTGCAGTCTGATAAAAAACGGGAGAAACATGTCAATAAACCTCGTTAATTGTGCAGGGAATAGCCTCGTTCCGTACAAAATCAATAACACAATTATTTAGCCTATATTAGATATATAATAGCCTAATAAAAAGAAAAAATACTTTAATCTTTTCTATCAATTAGCTAAATGACAAGTAGCTAGGCCTATTTATATCGATTTAAATCAGTGTAGGCCTAATTTTTTTAGCCTACTATTAATTAATTTATCATATGGTTATTTTAAGATAACATTAAGTTTAAAGAAGGCATATGAGGCTGCATGATGAACTGCACTAGGATGAGGGGTTTAATAAGCTAGTGGTTGTTGTTGTAGTAGATGATGAGATGAATGAGGTGCTCTGCTGCAGAATAAGCGGAGGAAAGCATTTCCTAAAGAAGAAGCTGTTCCACACACTCGCGCGGGGGATTGTGGGATTTACAGCGGACGTCGTCAAAAAAGATTAGAAATGCTCATTTTTATGCTAAAATGGCGATAAACGCCGGAGGGTATAGCCAAGCCGCTGTGAGTGATACAGGGATATACAGTGCCTTACAATCACTTGTGCTGCATAGGCCTATTACTCATTTGAATTCAGATTTGAAATTTACAATACAGATTGTTTCAAAGCAGCTTTTACAGTGATAACAGGAAAATAATGCAACAGAGTTTGTTTCTGCTACAGCAGATCTAGAAGAAAATAGTGTCATAATCCAGCTTAAGTAAATTCAGTGATGCTTCATTTTTGTTATTAATTTAGTTCATACATATATGTATGTATGTATATGTATATAGCCGCTCTGGAGAAAACAGTGATTTCATCGTCCAGCTCAGTTCAGTTCTGATATAATAGTGTCAATGCAGGCAGATCAATAATATTGTTCAATATTACAATGCGTAGTTTCAACTCAACTTTGGGTCAAAAATGGAATAACTCAGCAGTTAAAATTTTAAATTACATTTTAACCCAACGTTTGGGTTTGTCCATATTTGACCCCAAATTGGGTTAAACTAACCCAGCATTTTTTATAGTGTAGGTCTTAAGTGTCCCCAACTAAGCAAGCCAAAAGCCAAAGGCGAAAGTGGCTATGAACCAAAAGTCTAATGGTTTAAGCGCGCGCACGCGTGTGTGTGTGTGTGTGTGTGTGTGTTTATGTACAGGTTTATATTACATTGGGACCACGTGTGAGTAAGTGTAAGGTTTTTCCAAACAATTTCATTTGTAATGTAAATGTTTCGGGAACAACAGTTGTTGTGACATGCACTTCCTTCGAATTAATTCTGCATTAAGGATATATTGCATCAGATTAAAACAGATTAAAATCTATCAAGACGAATGAGGACAAATTGTTCTTCTTTGATCATATACAGCATTTGACGCAGAGGCGCATCAGAACAAACGCGCGCGCGCACGTTAATCTCGCGCTCACGGTTCCGCGAGTGTGTGTGATGGTCCTGAGGTTTCCTCGGGCTGACCTGACCTCTGGTGTCAACACGGGTTGTCGGTTTCCCAGTGCTCGGGCACACAATTGAATTCCCAAGACTGTTGGGAAAGGTTTAAACTGGACAGCAGTGGTTTGCACGAGCGCACCTCGCCCCGCGCGCGCCCATTGAACAGAGGAGAGGGGTCAGCTGTGTTTGCCATACACAGGAAAATAGCCAAAGATTTGATTTGCACAAAATCCGGCCATTGTTACGAAGCACATGATTTTTGTCTGAATCCAAAATAATTTGGTCAGTTGAGCTGAGTGATTTCATTTTATCATTTTCCTCCTTTTGGAGTGAAGATTCACCCTACGTGATGTTTTCTGTTATTGGCTTTGATGAACAATAGATGACACTATAAGCATGCCAGAATTATTATTGGGGTGTATTATGATACACCACAGTCGTTTATAAATAGGAAATGTACACACAATTTTGTATGGGCGAGAAAGGCCGTGCAGATGTCCATAATTATGTTAAAAAACGGTCAGCTAAAAATAAGTGATGTGTCATTTTCCCGTAGAAGATAATGAAGGAGATTCTTGCTAGATCACGCAGAGACCTCAGGATGACCCCGGTGGCCAAGGTCACTCAGATGCTATCATGCCTTTGTGTATTATTTAACATTATGCATGCCAGATTTGTTTGTTTTTTTAGAAAAAATAATACATTAAATACAATCATGACATCTTAAAATATCTCTCTGTTAGAAGAGTTAATAGTCAAGTCGCCTTTATTTATAGCACTTTTTACAACATAGTATAGTATATTTACACTACCAGTCAAAAGTTTTGGATTTTTTTATGTTTTGAAAAGAAGTCTCTTCTGCTCACCAAGGCTGCATCTATTTGATTAAAAATACAACAACAACAAAAACAGTAATATTGTGAAATATTATTACAATTTTAAACAGCATATGTGAATATATAGTAAAATGTAATTTATTCCTGTGATCAAAGCTGTATTTTCAGCATCATTACTCCAGTCTTCAGAGTCACATGATCCTTCAGAAATCACTATAATATGATGATTTGATGCTCAAGAAACATTTATGATTATTATCAATGATGAAAACAGTTATTTTCATTTTTATTTCAGGATTCTTTGATGAAAATAAAGTTCAAAAGAACAGCATTTATCTGAAATAAAAGCTTTTGTAACATTAAACACTACCGTTCAAAACTGTGGGGTCAGTAACAATTTTTATTTATTTTTTGGGGGGAAATAAAAAAAATCAATACTTTAGTTTTATTCACCAAGGATGAGTTAAATTTATCAAAAGTGACAGTAAAGGCATTTATAATGTTATGTCTTTGATGAATAGAAAGTTCAAAAGAACAGCATTTATCTGTAATAGAACTTTTGTAACATTATGAATGTCTTTACTGTCACTTTTGATAAATTTAACTCATCCTTGGTGAATAAAAGTATTGATTTATTTTATTTTCTCCCACCAAAAAAAATTAATAAAAATTGTTACTGACCCCAAACTTTTGAACGATAAATGCTGTTCTTTTGAACTATCTATTCATCAAAGAATCCTGAAAAAACAATTTTACACTGTTTTCAACATTGATAATAATAATTAATGTTTTTTTGATCATCAAATCATCATATTAGAGTGATTTCTGAAGGATCATGTGACACTGAAGACTGGAGTAATGATGATGAAAATTCAGCTTTGATCACAGGAATAAATTACATTTTAAAATATATTGAAAACAGTTATTTTAAATTGTCATAATATTTAACAATAAAAAAAAAAAAAAAAAAAAAAAAATGTAAATCAAATAAATGCAGCCTTGGTGAGCAGAAGAGACTTCTTTTAAAAAATCGTACCGATCCCAAACTTTTGACTGGTCTAATACAGAGAGCTTGCAGATAAGCAGGATCCTCTTCATGATCACATTCAGATATGATAACTGACACAAATTCGTAATTATTTTTAGATAGCAGATTATGTTTATCCACAGCAGCGAAATAAAAAAGCAGAAGGAATGTGATCTCATTAACACCCTATGAATTTGAATCAGCAAGACTTTATGATGACACCAAGGATCTACTATTTGATATTAATATTCAATATAAATATTGAACTCTAGCAGACAACAACAAGAACGGTCTCATCTGCAGGCTTCACATGTTGCTAGTGAAGATGTCCTGTCTTTATCTCTGCTTCTCTTTCACTCGTGTGGAGTTTCACATCCTCAGTGAATCCCCACCTGAGATCTCAAAGCTTTGCTTCTAAATCTAATTAAGAAGCAAAAAATGCCCTTTCAAGCAATTACATACCTCTTGGCCAAGGTTCACAATTAAACAAATGATTATATTATGATATCCATAATTACACGCCTAGGCATGGGGGATCCTTTCAAGTGTCATGTGTGTGTCGTTACAGCTGATGAGATTAGGAGTCGGGCCGGTTCGGGTCCCGTTGACGGGACGCTTAATGGAATAAGGATGGAATGGGTGAATAATGCAAGCATGCTGTACTCCTCTAATGTGAACCAGTGTGTGGCGCATTGCAGCCCTGAACCATCGCATAACTGGCAGACGTCAACAACACACTTGATGGTTGCAATGAATAATAATAATAATAATACATATGATCATTCCCTAAATAAATACCAAACACATTCCTTCATGTGCACTGTGCCGTTGAGAAGTTTTGGATCGGAAAGATTTTTAATGTTTTTAAAAGAAGTCTCTTCTGCTCACCAATAAGGCTGTATTTATTTGAAAATAATAATAATATTGTTAAATATTATTACAATTTAAAATACCTGTTTTCTATTTTAATATATTTTAAAATGTAATTTATTCCTCAAAGCTGAATTTTCATCAGTCTTCAGGGTCACATGATCCTTCAGAAATCACTCTAATATGATGATTTGATGCTCAAGAAAACATTCATTATTATTATCAATGTTGTAAACGGTGTACAACTTTTTTTCGGATTCTTTGATGAATAGAAAGTTCAAAAGAACAGCATTTATTTGAAATAGAATCTTTTGTAACATTATAAATGTCTTTACTGTCACTTTTGATCAATTTAACTCATCCTTAGTGAATAAAAGTATTGATTTATTTTATTTTCTCCCACCAAAAGATTTAATAAAAATTGTTACTGACCCCACACTTCTGAACGGAAGTTTTTAATGTTACAAACTATTTTATTTCAGATAAATGCTGTTCTTTTGAACTTTCTATTCATCAAATAATGCTGGAATAAAAATGCAAATAACTGTTTTTAACACTGATAATAATCAGAAATGTTTCTTGAGCATCAAATCATCATATTAGAGTGATTTCTGAAGGATCACGTGACACTGAAGACTGGAGTAATGATGATGAAAATACAGCTTTGATCACAGGAATAAATTACATTTTACTATATATTCACATAGAAGCTGTTTAAAATTGTAATAATATTTCACAATATTACGGGTTTTTTTGGGGTTTTTTTATCAAATAAATGCAGCCTTGGTGAGTAGAGGAGACTTTTCAAAACATGAAAAATCTTACTGATCACACACACACACACACACACACACACACACACACACACACACACACACACACACACACACACACACACACACACACACACACACACACACACACACACAGTCATCTGAGTGAAAGCGGGTTTGAGCTTTGAAACCTGATCTCCTCCGGCTGTCCTATTTCTGCCTCGGCTCACCACAGGAATGGCTGGAGAATGTTCCGGGAATGTTTGGAAAGGCTTATCAGGAGAATTCAGCTCTGATCATTCCTAACTGAAACATGACGGACAGTGACTGTGTCAGCCGGCAGGATTTAAGCCACTTTAGCACCACAAACACCAGCATAACAGTAATCTATGCGAACGTCTGTCCAACACATCTAATGATGAACAGGGACACTTCAAGATAATGGCCGAAACGGGGAAATGCTGATCTTTGTAATGAAAAGGTTATTTCTGAATACTGGAAACTACTTAATAAAGTTGTTTCATTCTGATAACTGTAATTAAGGGTGATTGGGACATAAGGTCAAATGGGACAGTATAGTTTATCTTCTGGCCTAATGTGTGAAGATAAAGCCCTTGCTGTGAGACCGCATCATCAGCACTGTAGAGCCTTATCGCTGTGACATCATGAGGTGAGGAAGATAACATAGGCCTACGCTTTTGCTAGTTTTCATAATGAGATCATAAAATTGTACTATTTTACATGGAAACATGAAAATGATGCACAACTAAATCAGTAAGATGTGTTAATTTCATGTTTCTATTTCCAGAATTAGGTTGTTTTTTATTTTGTCCCACCCACCCAAACACAGTTATGCTGGAATAAAACAACTAAAATAAAACAACCCAATTCTGACAATAGAAACATCATAGTTGAACTAGATTTTGTTGCAGTAATACACTTATTCCAGCAAAGGTTTGCAGGTTAAATATGTTTAATAAACAGTTTATTGGGGATGGGACCAGCCAACCTTTCATCCAAATGGTTGTTGTTTTTATTCATTTAATTTTTAAAAAAAATTTTTTTATGAATTTTGGACCTGAACCATTTTTCTTACTCGTTTACACTTTCTAAAGACTTTTGGACTTCAAGTCTTCTTTTACCTCAATTACGTGTGTTGTATTTTATGAATTGTGGATGAATTTATAAATGATTGAGAAATAACAGAAATAAACATGGACTCTTAATAATAATGAACAGAAAAAGAAAACCTTGCATATGAAATTATATCAAAGTATGAAGTGTAATACACTAGCATAAATCAAGGATAAGATAGGTCCTGTCCCTATCACTTAAACGTCCCGTCCTAATCAGCCAAAGGGGTTTTGGCTCAGTTTACACTAAGGGTCACGTATCCTTTCATTTTAATATAAACTTGTTTCCTGTTCACATCTTCAGTATTACAGAAATTATGTTTTTAATTTATGGCAATAAACCTTGAACAAGGTGGAAATTCAAAAACCGCCCAACATGAATCCAAAGACCAAATAGTTTTTACAACGTAAGGGTAAACAAATGACATTTTCTCAGCCCAAAACGACACACACGGATGCAAACTTGCACTACTCGCCATCAGCACTAGATGTCTGCAGACACCACACACACAGACACACCGCAAGCGTAACAGGTCCTTAAGCAACTAAATAAGGAAGGATATAGCATAACATGGATAAAATAAAAAAATCGCTCGTTAAAATACCCGAGTGAAACTTCAATGTTGTTTTCTAATTTCGCTCATAAATCCCCGGACCGTTAAAAAAAAAGTAGTCAGTAAGTTATGTGTTAAATACGACCTATTAAATAACACTGAAAACAACAACAACAACAACCAAACCGTTATAATAGTCGTGCCTTAAAACAGGAGTGTTATTAAGAAAAAAAGAAGTGGGAAATTTGACCAAATTAGTAAATGTGCGTATAGTGTTTACGTCCAGAGCACCCTCCTCCTCGTCATCTCATCCCTGAGGAATCATGCGTTAACTTAGTCGAGTGTGAGAGTGAGAGAGAGAGACATGCATGCAGATCGCCGGGCCTAGTCTGTCTGCGTGGAGATATTCACACGACATTAAAAACATTCACGACTGCGTAAGTTGTCATCGCATTACACTATGTCTATTTCCGGGTGAAATCACGGCTCAGAAGTTCGTGTGTCTGCGAACTGTTGACAAAATAGCGGTTGCGTGTGGAAAGGGAGGGAGTGCAAAGCAAACAGGGAGAAAAAAATCCCCGAACGATCGCTTGTTTCACTCAGTCAGTCAGCCTGCGGAAAGAAGCAGGAAGAGGACTAGAGCTGTTCACCTGTCGAGTGGAAGACTGCACTGGACATTTGAAGGAGAAGAAGACCCTGCTTTTGTCTTCGTACTGTGATTGAAACCTGCCCGGTGGTGTTTTTGGGAAGTTCAACCCACAGTTAACTTCGAACGTTCAGTTTCCGCGAATCCCACAGAACTGGCGTCGGACATTCCATTCCAGTGGGATAATCTATTCTAAAGGTGAGCGTTCTGTGCTGGGAAGTGTTTCGTGTTCTGTGGTGTGTCGTGTGTGTATTGCTATGAGTGGCGTAGATTTGTGTTACATTGCATTGATCTTGCCGCCTCAATGTTATTTGTTTGTTAATAATATGCCGTTGAATAAATAAATCGGATACGCTTAGACTGCAAACATGACACATTCGTGGAGAAGTGCTTTAGTGCTCCATCCTGGGTCATTTATTATGTACTACTTTTTATATAAAAACATAGAAGTAGCATGTTTCTGTCTAAAAGTTTCAGACATTCTTTAGATTTGGAGTATTAAATTGACCTTCAATGGCATTCAGATGCAGATATGTAAGAGTTGACATCTATTTGGTTACTTTTGAACGCTTTCACTTGCTTTATTAAACATGGCTCTTAAAAAGAGCTCTTATTTTTAAGTTAGGAATCACAGTTTTATCATTAAACAATGGATTGTGATATCCATTACGGCCACTCGTTAAAATGTTGGAATGCTTGGATGACAAGTTTACCTGACAGGACATAAACCTGTGTTTATCGGACAGGGAGGCACGACTTCGGTTGTTTGTGTAATTGACGGATGCGATGGCATAATACTGGACTAAACTATGACTCAACCCGCATATGGACATGAGCAATGAACCTCAGGACACGCCCACAGGCCGTTCTCCAACCCTGTGCATATTCTACATACAAATGAAAAGAACTTTCTGGCTCTAGTAATGCGTTCCAGACTATTCAGAACTTGGAATTCTTAAACTTCCTTCTTGGAAGATTCCACAGGAGAGGCTCTCCAATTCTTGGAAGATAGCCTACTACAGGAGAGGCTCTCCAGTTCGGACGTTCAAGGCAGGTCAACACCGTCTTCAGTTTGACGTCATTCCCAAGGTGGTGGCGATTAAATCAACATTTTTATAGTTATTTCCCATTGCAGAAGAAAATATTCTGATTTCCGTATTGTGTGGAAATTGTTATGGCTTCACCTGTTTTTTGTTTTTTGTTTTTTTGTGTGTGCTTGTTTTAGTTCTAGATTTGGTCTTTTAGCCAACATATTTATCAAAACCCCAATTTTTCCTGGCATATTCTCTCATTTTAGTTTTTTTTTTCTTCTAAAATGGCATCTAAATGAAATAATAAATATAGGGTACGTAGCTACACTGTAAAACAATTATATGATCAATAAGTTGACAACCTAAGTTGTTATGTTGATTTAACTCATTAAAATAAGTTAAGCGATTTTCAACTTTTTTCAGAAGTTAGGCTATACAAGATTCAGCCATTTTGTTCAAGTCAGTTCAATGTAATTTAAGTTGAAATGACTTAAACATCCAACACAAGTTGACTGTACTTAAAAATTTAAGGCAGCAATTGTTTTTACAGTACAATCATATACGCATACAAATTCTAAAATTGCGCATAAAAACGTATGCGCTCAATTGAGGCAGGTACGTTTCTTTATCCGATAAGAATACATGCGCATAAACTACGATGGAAACACATTTATTGAATGAATCCTTTGATGCGCAACAAAAAACCTCACATGACTTTGCCTCAACACAGGATTAACCGGGACTGATCAGCGGATTAACCAATCGCAGCGCACAGCATCTCAAATGTTGGTTTGGTCGTTCTGACATGCAACTGTCATCGAACCTCAGTGGCTTCCCTGGTTACAGCAACTTCCTTTTTCATTACGGATACTTTGCGCTAATTCTGCGCCGATTTTGTTTTCCTGAACACATAAAAGGTCATCTTCAGTCGGATTGTGTGTGTGTGTGTGGAGTAAGACACATGTGTTTTTTGTGAGTTGTTCTTCTTGGCCCTCACCCACACACACACATGTGACCGGAGCTTCAGAGAGACTTCGGTGGCAGACTGTGATGTCATCAGTCAGGGGACACAAACACTTTGGGATGCCCACACACACTCGCTCACAGTCAGAAGAGAGGTCACTGTGGTGACAGGGGCCGTGAATGGGCTGATTCTCTCAGTCATGTGAGAGCACAGTGTGTGTGTTTGTTTTAGAGGCGCAGGAAAACATTTTTCCTTAGAAATGGGGACAGACACACACATAAACTCCCATGGCCGACTGTATGGTTTAAAGAGCAGATTATTTATCGGAGAGCCAGTTAGCATTAAGAATCTTTAATGTTGTAATGTTTTAGAAACAATAACAATATAAAATGTCAACAAAACTGACCCTTTAATACACTTGAGGTCATATTGCGCATGTTATCGTAAAGAAAAAAATGTTTGTCTTCGCAGTCTTTCATCAAAATGTAATAACTTGCTCTGACTTTGAATCAAATTACATAGGCTGTGCAGAATCCTTTTGGATAATGGTAGGTTTTGTAATCCTGTTAGTCATTGTAGATAAAACCTTGCCAATAGTTAGTAATTCAATGCTGATTAACTCTAATGTAATCCTGGAAGTGACCCAGCTCCACCTAGTCTATGTGTCTATGTAATACTGTCCGGGATTAGAAAAAAAAAGAAAAGAAAATGACAATGATCAAGAAGATAACTAAGTGAATCCTTTCAGCTCAATAGCCATAAAAGTGTAATTGGCTAATCTAAAACTCTAGGTCACAGAGAGTGAACCTGACATGTATTTCATTGTACATTAGCACTTACATGCTATATAAAAATACAATGTAACAAACATATGCATTTGTTGTGAAACACATTTGTCTCCTTAGTACTTCCCATTTTTGTTCTGAAATGGACTTAAACGGTACATAGGCAAGGTTCACTTTCCTTAAAGATTAGTCAAAATGCAATAGGGTCATTCGTGCCATCATTAATATTCAGTATATATATATATATATATATATTAAGTGTCATGGATCAATATTAGCTGAGTAATCCAATATGTTGTTCTAGACGGGGGTGAAAATGACTTTAGAAATCTGTTGACTTTAGCAATCTTTGCTGCATTATATGCCAATGGTGACTGTTCAGAAATGGGGAAAAGAATGCGAATCTTTAATACTTCTAGAATTACAGGCACGCAAACTTGGGAAAAGATCATTTTTGTGGCACTCAGACAGGAATGTTCTATGCAACTGTTTTTAAGAGGGAAACAAGATACATTTCTAGTTTCAAGCATTATTTGTTCTTCAGATATTCCTCTTTAAAAGAAAAAAGTATGAGCTGTATGCAATGAGCTGTATACAATAAAACATTTAATTCACATTGAGATCCCCATATCTCTGGGATGTAGAATTTTTACCAGACGATATGAGACATGTATTTTACCAAATTACATTAATTTTATTTGGCTCCAAATCTGAGGTGAAAATTCTACAAAATAGCAGTAAATATTCATCCATGGCATTTAATAGTTTGGCTTTCATCACTATTTACGTTTGTCTTTCTTCAGAAAAAAAAAAATACGAACAATCAAAAATTTCAGGAAAAGTTTTGGAAATTTGTTTGATTTGACAGAATGACCCAATCGATTTGAAAAAGTAGAGTTCCTCTTAGTGGTGTGATGTTTCGATACACCGATACCAGCTGCGTTCTCGCTCTCTCTCCTCTCCGACGGGGAATTGACAGTTTGACACACACACTCCTCCTATCACTTAGCTGTGTAGTTCACTCCAGTTGAATAGTGCTGGGTCCTGAAGTATTGCGCATAATTGTACTCATTTCCGCAGGTTTCGCGCTCACACCGAAAGAGCGTGCACCACTGATCTATATAAATGACGCTCTCATAAAGCCGCCTCTCAAACAGCTCGCGAGTACCAAATTTAGTTCTTGGTTTATTTGGCTTAAATGGTCAAATACACACAAAATTATGTTAAAATGCCTGTCATGGCGAGTATTCACGTAAACACAGTCAGTTTTGGAACATAAATAGTTGAGAAAAAACGCATGTTGTATAACAGATCCGCTTAAGCCTTAGGGGCTGTTTACACAACACCGTTTTCAACTAAACTTTTTATGCGTTTTGTCCGTTCGTTTACACGACAATGGCGTTTTGGGCGCCTGAAAACGCTAACTTTTGAAAATGGATTTCAAAGTGCAAGTTTTTGAAAACTGTCTCCTTGTAAACAACAAAAGTGCGAATCTCTGAAGACGATGACGTCATGCACATGCGTATTACTTGTTCAGTCTACAGTGTTTCATCGCCATCTAGTGGCCTGGCAGAGGAATACAGCGATTATGTTAATGGGGATCGGTTTAATGGTGTCGTCTGTAGGACGCGGAAAACTCAAAGGAACAACTTCTCAGTTTTTAGCATATCGTTGTCGTGTAAACGTAGCCTTAAAGTGACAACAGTCTAATAAACCTGCCGCTTTTTGTCATGTTAATCAAAGAACAAAAGACAGAGAGAAAATCGCTTCTGCTCTTTAATTGTAAGCATTACTAAAGTTAGACCCACCTAAAAAACTTAAAGCCATGTTTATTCCATTCGTCTCGTTATTCTATTGTATTTATTTGTGTTATTGTTTGCAATTTGTCTATTTGGTTTTAATTTATTGACCGTTTACTTGTCTTTTTTTTTTTGTTGAGTTGTTAAATTGCTGTGTAAGCTATAGCAACAAAATTACCCAAACTATCAAAAAACGTTGATAATAAATAAAACAAATTATATTTAATTTATATACATGGCAGATTTCCCCATTGTATTGAAAATGGTATTGAATATCAATATTTTTCCAGGTTATCAATAAATAAACTGTCCGCACACTCAAATCCTTAAAGCAAATTTAATATGCACCTGCATTTTTGTATAATTTTTGTGTAGTTTGTGTACTTATGTTTGTTTCTTGTATTGGGGATTTTCACTATGGGGAGTAAATGTGTAAATTACCTAGATAAACTCAGTATATCTGGTAGGTTTAAGAAAAACTACAACTCCCACTATTGGACTACAATTCTCCTACCTGGCTTTCACAGGTGTTGGTAATCACTGTTGATTGTCCTGATGTGTTTGAACACAGTTAAATTGATTGTTACATTTGTTGTCTGTATGCCCTGAGGATGGTCTT